TGATATGACTTTTGAAAGTGACTGGCTTTTGAGAGATTTTTGGGACGGGGTGATACTTTTGGATTCTGACCACGGGCAGCTGAGCTTGCCAGCTGGCCAGAACTTCCAATCCTGAAGCTATTGATTTGAAGCAGATTTGATAATGTCATGATTTTGTTCCTAACTTTTAAGACTGTTTAGTTTTTATTCAGTCTGAACTGGATAGAACATTTGGATCTGACTTAAACATGTACAGTGAAAAGCACATATTACTAGTCTCGGCTTTGGCCGTCTGTTCTCTGGGCTTCTGCAGTTAACTTTATGCAGTGCTGGCAGTCAAAACAACTTTAAGCTTGCATTTCAGCTGGTGTTCTAGCCCAGGTGCTTTTAGCGCTATTGATTCGGTTTTAATAAATTTGAATGCAAGTATCTTCACTTGCTCAGTTTCAGTGCTGCAGCATCAATTACTTGTGCTTTGTTTAGAAACTTTGTTATGATTGTCTCTTTATGAGAGATCTTGATTACTCAATCTTGAAGAAGTTAGAAAGAGCCAGTTTTTGAACTGACACATGCAGCGAGTATTTAATCTGGCAGTAGTGTTTGTGTATGTTCCAGCAGAAGGCAATGCAGTGGAGAATCAACTCTGTCACTAATTCTGAAGGGTCTGCATAGTGCAGTGAAATATTTGAGAAGCATTTACTCATTTAAAGCAAGTAACTTATTTTGATATTTTCAATTGCTTTATTTACCGTGATTGTTCATTGCGCCACAGGCATTTTATTACGGTACATGGACACTGATGTAACCTCTGAATAGGTTTTAGCAGGGAAAATTCAATGAAATACTCTTTTTACAGAATGTTTTGATTCACTGAATAGCTTTAAAAAAAAAAAAAAAAAGGAAAGATTTTATACAGTTCAACTTCAGCCATGCAGTTTGTCTTAAATATGCTATGATTCATATGTTGTAAGATGAGTGTTTGAAGTTAAACAGTGGATGCTAGAAGACCATATTTAATGCTTTTTGATGAAGTGTAAGAAAATGAAAACTTGAATATTCATCTTATTTACTTGTTAAAATAATAATTTTATTTTTTTTATTTGTCTTAGGTGAAAATAAGGATAGTATGGATCAGTAGAGCTCATCATTATTCCTTGCCAGTGATACTGCTGATAGTGGTACAAATTTTCCTTTGATAAGAGAGGAGAAAACATGCTGTTGCACAGAAGGTGGCCTATTTATGAGAGTATAGTTCTCAGTTCTTGTTTCTTCTGGAGTTTGGAGTATCTCGCAAATACTTTTTTGCTTCATGTTTCCCAAATATCAGATATCACAAAGTTATCTTAAACTTTAATCTTATTTATGTTTCATCTTTTTTTGGTAACAATGAGTTAAACCCATTTAAAATTTCACTCCTTTTCCATAAAGCTATCTAGTTTATGTTGAGTGTTTAAAAAACATCTGTAGGGTGAGATGGCTGAAGATCTTAGGGAACAAGGAATCTCTTACTTTAAGACAAAAAGAGTGAAGATAGATACTTTCTAGGTGGTACTATGTAATGTAGAGCTTCCTGAATGATTTTGCCTATGTACTGTCATTGATCTGGATGGCAGCAGTAATGCCTGGCTCTGTGCCTGAGCAGGAGGAAGCGTTTGCCTACTCTGGCAGTGTTCGTGTACTATGCTTTAGGAGCCTGTAAGGTCATTTAACTTAAATGAATTGACCTGTCTTCTTTTAAAGCATGCAATTAAGAAAACAAACAAACAAAAGCAACAAAAAACCCACCCCAAATCTTTGTAGAAACCCCACGCTGTCTATCTGGGGAGAGGCCAAGAGCTATATGACTGTGTTAGTGCATGAGTTATGGGGAGCAGATTAGGACAGACAGATGTTGCAGTTAAAGCATTCTTAGGAGCTTGTTCAGGAATGTGATGGTCCTGCTGCTCCCGTGCCAGGGATGGAGAAGGAACGCGTGACTCTTGTTGATTCTTAAGCAGATGCTCTGTTCTCTCCAGTGTGGTGCAAAGTTAAGTTAGAGGGACCTACTCATAGACTAAGTAGAGGGTACTCATGTTGGAAGGTACTGGCAGAATGTATTGATAGCTGTTTATAGCTTACAAAAAAGCAGACAGGAAGGAAGACAGAAAAAGCCATTTAATGACTCAAGATAGGACTATGCAGTACGCTGCCATGATTACTGATTCAAATTTCCTGCTTGGAGTAAGGTGTGAGCCAAAGAAATTGACTGGCATATTCTCCTGTGTGTTTTAAAAATTGAAATAGGTTTGGATAATTAACCTGATCGACTGCTTTTTATGACGGCTTTCGTTCTTGCACTGTAATAGTGCTGTAATACTTCTATTTAAATATTTCCCAAGAAAAATAATTTTAAAAATGGTTTGTTGAGCATCTGAAGAAACTACGTAGCTTTTGATGAGCTTGTTTGTAACAGCCTTAGGACTCAAAAGCTTTGGTCAGCAATTGTCAAACATAATCTCCTTATTGTGTTAACACTTTTGTCACTGAAGCAATGCTAGTAAGATGGCAGATGCAAGAGGTCCACTTGTGTACAGCCTTCAGCTTCATTCTGCTATATTCAGCTAGAAAAATCAAGGCTGGATTGTGCTCCTCAAAGGGGAAAAAAGCTGCTCATCAGGTAACTTAATATGAAGCAGGCATCATCCTCATCCAAACTGACATTTCTCAGTTTCTATTTCAGTTCATATTCTAGATCAGACTGGAAACTTTTTCCTGTTGATCTTTTAGTCTAAACTTGTTTGACTGGCGGTAGAAAGCAAAGGGTTAATCCAGTATTAACCAGAACCTGTGGGACTCATAAAGAGAGGATTAGTTTGTTCCCGAAGAAACTAGAAAAGGCGTTTTACAGAATGCCAAGGTTGCTTTTGCAAGAGCTTCGTTCCAGACTCTGCTCTGAAGAGATGAACATGGGGATCTGCCTTCCTATTACTGTTCTTCTAAGAAAGAAAACATGGACAAAGCAGGTGTCTAAAAGGTTGTGCACTATTTTTGGGAGAAATCTGATTAATGTTGATAGGCTGTTCAGAATCTGGCTATAACCTCCTGTCAGATTATAGTTCGTGCCAAGGTCAACTCTGAACCTTCCATCTCAATTTCAGACGGTGTCTGGTGTGAAGGACGTTTGTAGATGAGGCAAACGTAGTTGTACCATCTCAGTCAAATTTTCATGCATTTGCTAGAAGTGGTATTCTTTCTAAAGAGACAGCTCTTTAGCACAATCTGATCTCTGAAATTGCCTCTTCATGCTTTTATCATGAACAAATTATGTGAGCTTTATTTTGTTATAGAACCCTGTGCTCCAAAGGATTGGTTCCTTACAGGCTAGGGGTCAAAAAGATTCTTAAATTCTGAAAAAATTTCTGAATAGAATTATTTTTTCCTTGGGTAGATTTCTCTCATAGATAATACCTATCTTCAGACAGTGTTTTAATGTTAACATTAAAACAGATTGAGGAAATTAAATACTTTGGCCAAATAGGCAGTAGAATACCATTTGCTGTTAGTGACTGGTCACAGTAATAAACTGAAAGCAAAGGCAGAGTCCCAACTGAGCCCGTGATACTTGCTACAGAGAGTCTCGTAATGGGCAAATTAACCTAGTTTTCTTTCTGATTGTCAGTTATCCTGATTTTTTTTTTCATTACCCGTTTCTTTTAAAGCAAGATTCAGAGCGCTCTTTTGTTCGATACTTACGAATCAATGATAACTTCATAATTTTGTGGTTGTATCTGTATTAATTGTAACATTATCAATCTGGCTTTTAGACACAACACTTTTTTCATTTTGTTTAAAAAAATCCATTTCTCTAACTCTTCTATTGGGATTAACATCTCTTCCGTCATTGTGCATATCCCTTTGTATACACTGTTGATATGTCTGATTTTTGGAGTGGTTTTTTTTCCCCTTATCTCTTGAAAAGATCTCTTATTTCAGCCTATGAGGTGTCTTCCTTATTGCCACCATACCTGCATTCCTCCATAACCACAAGGGCCAAAATTTCACTAGAAACCTCATAGTTTAAGATCTAAAGGTACTAAATTGTGGTTCAGGGAGCTGAAATGAGGCACGGCTATTTGGTTGAGAACGCATAGACGTGCAGCTGTTGGAAGAGCTTAAGATACTGAAGGTTTTCTGTACAGTTTCTACCACTTACTCCTGACTCAGCTCAGGAGTTTAGTTTTTTTATTGCAGCTGGCTTTTCTTATCTTTACCTGGCAGTGGCATCAAACCACTGTGAACATAGTGATTGATTCTGCTGCTCATCCACTTCTGACCACCTCCTTTCCATGTGCATCTTTGGTATTTACCTCTGCTGTTGCTCAGAGGCTTTCCAAGCTTTGGCAGAATTTGTCTAATCCTCTGCTATCTAGGCTGTTTTGAATAACTAAATGAAATTTGACTGGACTGCAGTCAGTTTTCATTCTCTTGCCTGGCAGGAGCTGCAAGCAACAAACTACTTTTGCAAGATGTAGGTCCCGGCATTGTGTTGGTTTGCATGGTTTTTGAACGCTTTTGAAAAGTAGAAGTTTTGTTTCTACAGAAACTGAGGTTACCAAGTGGAAAGCATCATCCTTCCAATGAGCAAGTTGCTTGAGGAAAAGCTTCGGGGCATTCAACAGTGCGGAAGAGTTTCTTTATCATTTCTATCCTATTTAAAATCTGAGGACTTTAAATTTTAAAGCCTTTTAATGGACTAAAGGAAGGTTAATGTGATTTGATCCCCCAAAAGCTCCCCACTGGTTGTTCTCTAGTGAAGTCAGCCTCCTCATGGAGTTCTGAGCAATAGACTTTTACCCTCTTTCTAGCAACTCAGATGATATTTGGAGCATTATGTAAGAGCTGGTGTTAGAAGTTATATCAAAAATGCTTAGAAATTTTTTTCTTAAAGCTTTTCAGCCAGGTGTTGCGTGGTACTTTTTAGTTATTAGAATGTCATAACTGCGAGAATTCAGTTAAAAACCTTGTTTTGGTAGACGTTTCGGTTCATATAACCTTTTTTGTTTTGTTTTCTTCTAGGGGTAGCAGATGGAGTAGGTGGCTGGAGAGACTATGGGGTTGACCCTTCTCAGTTCTCAGGGACTCTGATGCGAACATGTGAACGTTTAGTAAAAGAAGGACGGTTTGTACCAAGTAATCCTGTTGGGATTCTCACCGCAGGTTATTGTGAGCTGCTGCAGAACAAAGTACCCTTGCTTGGTAAGACAGCAAAGATACACAAACTGGATCTATGTTGTATGTTATCTAGACATATACTTAGTCGGAGTTACTTAACTCTGTTATGCTTCTACCACAAATTTACAGACAGTTGTCGTAATAGAAAAACACAAATGAAGATGTCTGTTTTGGTAGCATCCTTATTTTTACTTGTATGTTTAAAAATTACCTTATTTAACTCAGTAATGCAGGGAATTCTTGTTTATCTAAAGAAAAACAACCGCCTTTGTATTTGAAGGTTGGTAATTCACCCATGCTTGCAGAAAGTTTGCAAAATAAGTTTTGGTATAGAATATGCTATTGTGTGTGTGCTTGCGCATGTGCATTATTTCTCACGTGCTCTCTCCCTCCCTCTCTCTCTCTCTCTGTATATGTAAATGTGCATATAAATAATCATTCTCCATTTGAAAACTGTTAAGAGTTCCTTGTGGCTTTTTGTTTAAGCTGTCTGAACAAAAATATTTTCTGATGATAGTAGTAATAGGATGCAGTTCTACTCGCTGCTCTTGTTGCCTTTCTGTCCAACAAACTTAAAACCTAATTTGCTGACTTAAGTGGTTTATATCATACAACCATTGGTATTTTATACTCTTTTTATAATTCATGGGGAGGGGAATCACTATAGGGTTGGGGGTGGGGAGAGTTGATGTTTTTGGCAAACTGAAGTATATGCCTAGCATATTCTGTGCCAAGCATGACTTTAGGCAGTGTATCCAACCGCCTTGGAAATTGTGAGCAGGATACATATGAAGGCAAAATTTGGGCTCAGCTGACAACCTTGCAAGCAGAATGCGTTTCAAAAGGGCACGTGACCTCTTGCACACCAAGAAAGAGTTACCCTGCGTGATATGCATGCTTCTCACCTGACCTTAAAGTACTGTGCCAGAAGAGTCCTGGGTAAACTATATTTAGCTTGTCTGCTGAGCTTAGGAACAGATGTTCTTGCGTTATATGCCTAAAGAATAGGTTCAAACTTCAGAAACGACCTCAAGTATCGCTAAAATAGCGATGGTCGGTAATTCCACTAGGATTTTGTATTCTTAATAGTGCTTATTTGTGCAAAGCATATGTAGCTAGCTGTAAGTGATCTACAAAGTGGGCCAGTGGTGAGAGCTCTCAAGTCCTTCGTAGGCGGAGGCAACCCTGTTTGGCTTGACCTTTCAAATTCTGAAAAGCAGCATATGCTGAGTCACAAGGTCTGCATTCCACACATGGCCTCCTAGTTACACTGTTAATACAGTTAGAATTTGAAACTAATGATCCTTAGTGTTTCTCCTTTGTCCAAGAACAGTATTCCTGGAAGTAGGAAAAAACCCTTGAATTACCCCAGCAGTGAACAGTTAGGATTTATTTGAAATAAAGGGAAGGGAGAGGACTTCATGAAGAAGGATTCATTAAATATTAACTTCTCCTTGCTATTGTGCTTTAAGCCTTTATACTTAGTCTATCAGAATTGAATCTACCAAATATTTTAACATAAAACTGAAGTGGGAGGAGATTGAGGCATTTATTTAAGTGCTGTTCTTGTGTTACAGAACAATCTTGGACTCTGTCATATATAAAATCTTAATCTTTTTTTCAAGATATTCTTTTGACTTATTCTCTAAGAGTAGAGAGCAGAGGTCCACTATAGGCCCTAAAGAACAAATTTAGTGCAATAACTAAATATTCCGATATTAGAAAGTGAAGCGTCTGGAATAAGTGATGCCTAGAGCCAGCTGAGCTTTGGTAGCAAGCCTGACTGTAAGCCTAGCTCATTGCAAGTCTGTGGTCCTCCCGAGGTGTAGCTGTGCTTGGAAACTTCTGCTGGTGGAACACTAGGGCGGAAGATAAGTTATTCTCTAGCCAGTAATACAGAGGCTTCTGTTGGAGGTGGTTTGAAGTCGAGAAGAAATGCTTTTGCTTCAGCTATATTTCAGGCTTTCCAGGAATGAAAGTTCGTTTTGATGCATTGCTATCCCGTCGGCAGAAATTAAGTGACTTATGTTTTCTGTGAAGGACTTTGTGTATGAGTGTTCTTGATACAGTAATTGTTGTGGTTTGCCACCAAGCACAGTTGGTAGCTAGATCCCAATGAATGAATCAAGAATTCCTTAGTGTCCTCAAGCATGACTGGAATAATTCTGAGCACTGTAGACTTGTAGAAATGTTTCTGTTCTGTCTTTAAATTTTTAACTACTCTAGAGTAGTATTTGTCTCTGAAACATCTTTTCTTTCAACTTGTGGAGGTAATATCTTGAATACAAGACAGGAATTTTTTTTTAACCTGGTAATAAGATGGGTGGTGAAGGTATTTACCAAAAAAAAAAAAAAGTTTCCGCCTGTTTAAATAGGACTGCGTTAAACTTGATTTGTATTGTCACAAATTTAAAAAAAAAAAAAAAAGGCTAGCAGAGTACCAAGTTATGCATAGCATAGCCTATTTGTTGTCACTTAACTGGATAGTGGTGCTGATTTCTTCAGCTTTAGGGAAGTATATTACTTCTAAATGGATGGCATGAATAAATTGTGTCCCTTTAAAATGTCTAGGCCTTTCTTATTTAGACAGTTTTACAGAGTCATGCCATAAATAAAAGCATGTTAATGTTCTGACAAGAATAATGGAACAATACTAAGAACCGCTTGCAATTATCTATTTACTTGCCATGGATTATTTACAGTTGATGAATGAAAGTGTGTGGAAGGAATCTAGCAGAATATGGATGCTATGGGAATTCAATTATTTTAATGCTTTCAGAATTTCCGCAATTTATGTTGTCTGTAAATCCGATCTCCTATAGCAGAATGCACTGGCATAGTTTAGGATGGAAAACTGTAAATAAACTGGAATAAGACAAATATTTGTCAGCATAACGCATTTACCTAGATCGAAGCAAGAAAAGTTCTACATAAAGTCATAGTTTGTGTTGTAAAGATTTCTGGTATCTTGCTATTTTTAAGTGTATATTAATTTTCTGGCATTATTGGATGTTTCCATATAGAATAAGCAGGTTTTGTAAGGTTAATTCCAGTTACTATTTTCTGTTTGCTTCCAGGAAGCAGTACAGCTTGTATAGTAGTTCTAGACAGAACAAGTCATCGTTTACATACAGCCAACTTGGGAGATTCTGGATTTTTGGTAGTCAGAGGAGGAGAAGTAGTACATCGATCTGATGAACAGCAACATTACTTCAACACTCCGTTCCAGCTGTCCATAGCTCCACCAGAAGCAGAAGGAGTTGTCCTAAGTGACAGGTAAGATGAGAGAGGATCTTAAATCTTTAATCCGTAATCGTGATCAACTCTCAGAAGGTTGCAGTTCTGCTGCTACCATGCTTTTTTTGTATGGTGCAGTATAGCATATGGGCTTTAAGTAAAATATCCCACCAGCGTCTTACGCCTGTCCCCCTCTGTATTTAAGGTAATGTGAATGTTTCTCACCTTATACTTACCAAATTTTGGAGGCTGTTGCTCAGTCCAAGTTTGTGTTAATGGTTATCCATTCATAATGACATATTCCCATAGACTCTATGGTGTGCATTCAGCATGTTCTGGTCCATGGAGGGACATTGCTCAATAACGCGGTTGCAGTGAAGACTGCAGCTGTTGGATGCGCTGGCCATCCTGCATCCGGCTTCTGTTCCAGTCCCTGTCTGTACTCTCTTGTGACTGGTTGGGAGTACACTAATTTAGATATCTTGGCAGCAAGGTAGTAAGTACTTGAAGAATAGAGCAGGGGAGCATGTGACTGTAGCTTGTGTTTCTGAGTAGCTGTGTTTCCAGCAGCATATTGTATTTGACCAAAATGAGCAAAACTCTGTTTGGCAGAACACCAAGCTGGGAAATGAGAGTATTAGGAAAGGACAATCTGTTCACAGAAATGAGTTGTTCCAAAGGCAGACTTGTACTTATGTCCTCCCCTCAGAAATCTAGCATGTTAGGCAAATCATTCCTCTGAATTTGTGAAATCTCACAAATAAAATACAAAAAAAAAATTGTATTTTAAATGTGTCAAAACTTAGCTCTCGGATCGATGGTTACGCGCGCTCATTAAAGTGTTGTCCTTCTTTTGAATACAAAAAGATTAAAAAAGGTGTCTTCAAGGAGTTACTACATAGTATATGGGGAATGGAACAGGAATCTTAATTTTGTTCATTTAAGATTTTAAATCTCAAGCCTCATGCAGTTAGATTTAGAACATTTACTGCAAAAATAGCTCTTCTCGAAAGTTATTGGAACTCCTCACTGTTCTTGCATATGTACTTCATTTGTATTTTTTTCACTTCGTAAAGCTACAGGGAAGAAGCCAGTGCAGGATTCTGAAATTAGAACCCTTAAATAATCTATTAACCTCTGTATCAGACTAGAGTTAAATTACTTTTTCGAATTCCGGAACTATTAAAATGTTTTATTTTTTCTGACATACTGTGTCTTATGTGGAAAGAAAAAAGAGTATCAGAAGGATAATTGATAATGTCCAGTGGGAATCAGGAAAACAAAGTAATCTGAGTCATTGCATAACAAGGAAAGTGCAAGATACATCAGCTGCCACGCTTCCATTCTGCATCATGATTATAGCTTGCTGGCTAGTTTCTGCGCCAGAAAGTTGACGTTAATTACTACTCATGCTTGTTATCTAAATGCTCCTCTGGTATTTCTTATTTGTTGCCCCAATTAAATGTTGAATTTGGTTATATGTGGAGACGGGCAGGCAATCTAAAGTCTATTAACCTTCCTGAAGCTACGAATCAGTTGAGCAAAAAGCATCTCTTCTGCTTTTTGGTATAGTCAAATGGTGTGATATGCTGTGCGTTTTCTTCCTCTTAAAGACCCCGAAGGATCTTTAAAAATGAGGTTTTTGTCATTATGCTTCTTCTGAGAATCAGGTTTGGCAGCAGTATTCATGGCCAAAATACATATTTCCTTTTCTTTGTACTGTGTAATGTGTGAGACCAGTAGACCTAGTTGTTGTGGTCTCTTGGTAGTGATTTCTGGACGTGCTGTATTATCCGTTGCAATAGAAAGTGATGCAGAATTCTTAAGTGTTTTAGCCATTCCTGTTATTAATTGTCCTTTCCAGTATAGCTCTGTTACATGTTTAAGATGGTTGAGAAGGAAACCCTGAACTGCCATTCTGCTTACTGGTTTCCATGGAGATACACTTGCGAAGTGGATTAGCCTGCAGGATTGTTCATCTGGGAATTTTAAATGCAAATCCTTTGTGTAATAGCTGGAGCGTTACCTGTTTGCAATCACGGTTCTTCTGTTGTAGCTTCCTTGACAAGCCATCCCGGTGCAAAAGCTCCACAGTTAGTGATTCTTTCTTCTGCAGCAAAACACATAGCAGTAGTGAATTGCAAAAGCTGTTGATGTGCTAGTGTGACATTAGTTGGCGCCTTAGTGAGAGCGGGAGTCCGTTTCTTTGACCTACCTGTTATCTTCACAGCCCTGATGCTGCTGATAGTACTTCTTTTGATGTCCAACTCGGAGACATCATTTTGACTGCAACAGATGGACTCTTTGACAACATGCCTGACTACATGATTCTTCAGGAGTTAAAAAAGCTAAAGGTAAGAACTGCGTATGTTCTAAATCTCTCACCTGGCTTTTGCCCTGGCAGTCCCTCATAGTAATTACCATTATTTCTCATGCACATCACCTCTGTTATACATAAAACAAAAGACTTACCGCAAAGCCCTATTATGTGGAGGCTTTTCGGTTGATACCACATGTGAGCAATAGAAAGGGGCATTCACCCCAAAGCACGTGCTCTTGGATCTCATCCGCTCTGATCTAGAAGCAGGAGCTTCTGCATAAACTTCCTGAGAAAAAGCCAGTACCATTTCACTGACTAGTGAAGGGGATGGGGGGAGATGGTCAACAGCAGGCACTGCCCCGGCCAACTGTTCATACACTGTATTTTACCTGTACTTTCAGGTTATAGATTGTATACGTGAAAATACAGCATTCTCTTATGGGGTATTTGAGGGGGTGAGTTCTATACTTAAACATAATTTGAAGGTTATCTGAACACTTATAAAACAGTATTTCTAAAGGAAGTATGGGCTATCTAAATTGAGTTGCATGTGTGTGAAAATCTTTACCTTTCTGTTAAAGATTTCATTTTTTCCACAAATTTTTAACTTTTCTAGGTTAGGAACTGCAAATGTTCCCTTTAAATAGTAAAAATGTATTAAACAATTTTAATTTGGATGAATGTTGTGTTTAACGCTATGTACTTACACAAAGGAAAGCATACTTGTGAAGTACCAATATGTATAACTTCCCTGGGGACACTCTTTTGATGATATGAAATGCAAATAAGGCTAACGTGTAAAATTATAGTGTGATTTCAAAAAATGTTCCCTGTTCTTATCCTGGAGCTACACAGCTGAAAGGTGATGTCAAACAGAAATCTGTATCCTTACAGACAAGGATACAGAGAGGCCCCCTCTGCTCATGAGGTAGATTGCGTTTCCCTCTCTCTACAGTCACCACTATCATTTTTCCCCTCTTGGTGTAGTGTTCGGACCTGAAAGTGGAAAGCATGTAGATATGCCGTAAAATGGAAAATGTGACTGTAGCACAAGTCACCCTCTCACAGAGGCTTTAACCAAGCTAGCAATGGTAATGGCAGCATTGAAGATGCTTTCGCATGCTTTAATGATCAGATTTGGAAGATACTTGTATGCTAGTAGCTAGCCTGTATGGCTGTTACTTATGCTATGGCTAGATAATACTTGGGTTTGCCACACTCCTACTTTCTTTTTTTCTGGGTAGACATAACCTTAGCCTGAGCGGACGCTAGGGGCTTAATTCTCCTTATGGAAGGAAGTTGAGCTCCACCTATTGGGTTATTTAGGTAAGGCCCTGGAGTGCTCCTTGGGTAGGAGGTTCAGCCTGAGCACTGCTAATTCCCCAAGCTGCTGGGAAGATTCTGATATGGCAGGACATTTAGTTGAATAGTTAAACAGTGGTGATTGTCATGTCATGTCTGCTTGAGTATTGAAAAAATAAGTCTTGGAGTAAAGTAGCAGAGGTACTGAAACAAAAAAGATTGGAACTTAAAGAAAATTAACTCCATAGAAAGTTTGTGCGCTCATTAACATTTTTCTAATCTAATTTTTGAAGTACCCTCTTTCTTTCTCTCTCTCTCCCCCAAGTAAGCAAGCGCTTGTTGATTTGGGCAAAAGGCTCGGAGAATTAAGACTTTCTATTCAAATGAAAACATAAATACTTCAACCAGGCTTCAACTGAGCCTGGTCTGTGAGGGAAGAATGGCTCTATCCATGTGAACTGCTATTAGTGCTCTAAGAATTTAAGACCTACGTTTCCTCTATAAAATGAGTCTTACAGCTGCTGGTAGGAAACAGGTTTAGACTTCTCTTCTGAAGATTTGCAGTTCTAGCCCAAATTTATAAGGCCTAAAATATAGTGAAGACTCCATTTGGAATAAAAGGTGATAACCAGTAGCTGAACTTGTAAAAGAGAGGTCTTGCAGCCAGGCAGCTATAGAGCTGACATGCATCAGTAAAATGATTACTGATGGAATTTCTTACAAGAACAAATTTTTTTTCCTCGTTAATTTAGAACTCAAACTATGAGAGTATACAGCAGACTGCAAGAAGCATCGCTGAGCAAGCTCATGAGCTGGCATATGATCCCACTTACATGTCACCATTTGCACAGTTTGCATGTGACAATGGATTGAATGTGAGAGGTAAGTGTGTTGGGTTTTTTTTTTCCTCCTCCTACTCCTGCCATCCTTGAGAAATGTTAAGTTAGAAAGTGAATTTCTGGTACTCTAAAATCTGATATGAAAACATAGCGTTAAGAAACGTACTTGGCAACTGAAGATCTGCCCCAGCCTAGTGCTTTGTGTTTGACAAGGCCCCCATCCCAGGCCCTAGCTAATCAGAGGCTGGCTGTAGAGCTCGAGAGAACTCAGCTCAGCACACTCTTCGATCAAATATGTACTCTCGTGCACCAGGAATCTAGCGCGGTACAAATTCTCCAGGTTCCCGGGGGAACTGTTCTTGACTTGTTCCTTGAATCCAGGCTCTTTGTGGGTTATTTTGTTTGTTTTGTCCTTTTACCGTTGCTATCCAAGTCCTGATCTCAAGTGTTGGCTGTATTTTCTATGCTCTAGAAAGGTCACTAACACTTGGCAGAGTTCATAGTCTTATTTAAATAAAAAAAAAAAAATGCTACTAAAGATCTCCTCATTATAGCTGTATCAGGAGGGCAGGATTTCCTGCAAGGCCCTTTAGCACCTTTCTTAAAGGTTGAGACAATAGTTTTAACAGCATGGAGCAAGAGCTTTACAAAGAGCCTAATCTATTGTGGAAAATCTAAATGGAATCTATTGCCAGCAGTGTCCAGCACAATTATTCACTAATGAAACTGCAGATTTCTTGGGTCCAAAGGCCTGATTTGAACTTCTGCATAATCAAATACCTCTTTTTTGAGCTATTTCTGTAGAATTTTGGAGTGTATCGATCCAGTTACTCTGGTTTGAAGAGTGGTTATTAAAAATACTAAGTAGCCTTTAAAAGGATATGCATCAATACAGTGCTGGAGAAGATGCTAAAGAGATACTTCAGTATTTGAGCTACAGTAAATTCCTGAGAAGATACTTTTTTATTGATGCGCTATAGTCAAGCTCCAATTTCAGTTAATATAGGGGAAAAAAAAACAAAACCTCTCTGTATATTAGAAAACAGGCTTTCTGCTCTACTGGCTAACAGTGTTCGAGGTTCTATACGCCTTTTAATAGTTTGTGATCTCAATATTACTTAAAAAGGAGAGCTCTTTCGTGCCCTGTTAAGTGTTGTCGCTACTCAATTGCGTTTGGAAAAGAAGCGGAGGAAGCACTGTTCTCTTGTCTGCAAAAAAAAACAAAACTATTTTGTAGTATTTAAACTACTAAAAAGAGCTTTCAGTAGGGAAATATCGCAGACTAAGAAGCTATATAAGATGACCCACTGTGGTTTGATGAAATAGTTTTATTTTTCTTATGTTACAGGGGGAAAACCAGATGACATCACCGTCCTTCTTTCTATTGTAGCTGAATATACAGACTGATTTGCCCAGAGTGTCAGCTTCTGATGTTTTCACTATCCCTGAGCTCCTAACTTCACATGTACAGTTTCCTGCTGGCAGGATTGCTTTCTTTCTTTGCAGCTGATCTCAGCAGCCAGATTTCAAGCTCGTTGCCTGTCTTGAGACACAACTGAAGTCCTTGTTAAGAACCACTCGTGTAGTACACTGGTCTTTGTCTGCCAGCAAGAAATGAAGAAACTCAAGGCTTGAAGCATGTCTTTCAGAGCTTAATAATTGTCCATAAAAGGGGGAAGATCAATCCCACGTCGTTACTGCATTTGAAATGTGACTTACTTTCAAATGGGTAGAATTGTTTGAATAATGATAAACCTAGATTTAATAGAAAAAAACCTCTGCAAGAGGGCGTGTTACTATATCTCCTAGAAACGTTCACTATTCATTAAAGGGTATGTTACAGAACACAGTTTCATAAGCATAGTCTTGTTACAGTGATAGCTGAGGTTTTGTGTTTCTAAGCTCCAGTTTTCAGGAGACTTTATAACTGCTGTAAACCTTTTGCTTTTGCCATACATGGTGTCAGCCTAGGAGCCTTTTCTAGTACAAAATTTCAAAAACATACTTATTTCAAGTTATATGGATGCAAATGTGTTTTGTGATTTCAGGTGCTTAACTGTGATCTTAAAAAGTTCTGCAGATCATTCGTCCATAAAGGGCCTGGTATCTGGATGTTTTGGCTGTGGGCAAACTTTTTTTTTTTTAACAAAAGTAATAAGTCAGTCTCAAAAAGCCAAGATGGCCAAAGTTGAGGTCCCTGCAGCATTTTAACCATCTCACCAGCATGTGATCATATGGCTTAAGTGTACAGTGAGAGGTTGCATGAAGTACAGGTCATCCTCAGCTCTGAACGTCTTTGCTTTTGGTAGATGATTCTGTTACCTTAACATAATTTGTGTTGATATTGCCATTCTTGTTTATATAGAACAGAATATGTTGAACCAATTTAAGTCAAGTTGAACCTTGTCTTTCTGACTCTCAAACATGCACCTCTGCTTATGCTGTGGCAGCAGCAGTAAGTACAGAAATGGAAACTTAAATGAATAATTAGCAAAACTTACATTTCAGTAACTAAAGTTTAGGATTTTCAGAATGAACCTTAATAATGTTTACAGTTATCTTAATAGCCACTTTGCAATATTACATTTCCTTCTGAATTACAGTAGCTCACAATTGTTCCCCCCATTCCATCAAGCTCTCCTTTGTTTCCTGAGGTTCATACAAAAAGCTGATAGCTGTAAAGATATATATATTTTTGGTCAGTTTTTCATTAACTTTTTTGCTGGTAGAAAAGTGTGTAGAAATAAATTAAAGCCATGTTTTTATATATAAAAAGTCGGGTAATGTTGATGTTTAGGTGAGTGCAGTTAAACTTGGTCAGTAAGTAATCTTACCTGATCTCAAAAGGAGATTTTTACTACCTAGTTTATGGTATTAAAACTGTTTAAGTTTGAGGTTACCTCAACTTGTTTAAAGAATTTTTTGTGGACTTGTACTGTATATTTGCGTAACTATGTCAAGCTTTTATTTAAGATCATTTAACATGTACCATGTACATGTCATTTTACTATATTTCAATGCATCATGCTTGTAACAGGCATTTCATTTATAATAAGTGATTAATTTGGAAGCTCTTTGGTAATTTATCTGCTATTCCTAAATTGGCATAATGTTAGCTATCTATTTTAAATCACCTTGTAATTACTTGTCAAAATGCCTTAACTACCCTAACTTGACCAAAATATTATTTTGGTGAGGGTACAGGGAGGATTATATTAATGAAGAAAAACTGATTAGTTTTGCGATACACGGAACTGAGTGGTGGATAACTTTGCACAAATTGTCAGTTCTTGTTATTTTTTAAAATTGAACAAGCTGTATCTAGCTGTCTTGTTAGAAGGAATGTATTCATGCTGCAGTATAGGGCTTTGTTTCTAGTATTTGGGAGGGCTGTTTCCCTCTCAAATCTGGGTATCTTTACATTTTATTCTTCAGTATTTACTATCATGCTTCTTTATTAGAGCAGATTTGATCAATTATTGTTTCCCTTGAACTCACCTTACTATAATGCCCCGGTAGACCTGGACTCTTTTGCACTCTGACCCCTTACACTGAGTACGTTCATGTCCAGTCCTCATTATTTTTTTTCCCCTTGCTAGAACTTTAAATTAGGAGATGTATGCGGATCAGATAAATCAGTATGGCAAAGGTGCTTACCCCGAGTGAGACGTTGCATGCGCTGTACTCTGCCTCTGTTGATCCGGGGTCTGGAACCCTAGATCGTAGAGATTCAGCCACCTTCTCAGAAGCTAAACTGTGCTGCCTGGTGGGTTTGAGTCTAAGCCTTGCTATCTGTGTTAAAGCAGTTTTTAGTTGAGTAGTATATATGAAGCCATTTGTGTCATATCACATCTTTTTTTTTTTTAATAAAGAACAAATTTGGATTTTAATTTACAAATCATGAGTTTATCCCTCACTGGACACACCAAAGACCAGTAAAGCTTATAGCTTTTCCATCTGTTTATAAAGCAATACTGTATTATAAAGAATTAATATTTTTATCACATGCTTGATTGTTTTTTTTTTTTTTTTTTTAAGATGTGCACTCTAAACATATCAAACCTAATTTCTTCCTATGAACTTAAGCTGTCTGCGCACAACAAATTTTTGGAAAAGGAAATGACAGGGCCCATATTATCAAAATAACTTTAAAAGATGCATGAAACAGTAACACTTCCTAGGATTAGATTATTGTGACTGTTTGTGAGAGGAAGGTACAAGAAAGGTGTGCCATGAAATGGAAACATGCATGAATGGAGAACAAGCTGGCTTCCAGCTGCTGCAGAGTTTGTTTCTTATCAGGAGATGGCTGTTAGGGAGCAGTAATCTGAAGGAGAAGGAAGAGCTTTATATACCAGTAACCTATGGTACACAGAATAGAGTAGCATTTGCAGGAGTCAGGATTTCTGCAACAGTGTTACTAGGTATATGGGTGAAAAAGGGCTAAGATATTGGTGAATTGAAAAACTGTGGTTCCTTGCTACTTTTATGGCTATCTTTGGGAGACCTGCAACATACAGTTTCCCTCTAAATTTACTTTCTTTGTGCTTATAAAGAAGGTATGGCCAAAAACCAAACAAGCAAACAAAAAAACACAGATTTTGGGACCAGATAGTTATGACTGAGTCAGGGAGAAGGGAGAGATGAAGGTCTAGCAAAGATGCAAAGTGTTTTGTGATGGAATCTCCATCTCTTAGTAATGGACATCCTTTCTCCAGGGGAAAACCAGACTGTGTATGTGTAGTAACTGACTGTATGAAGTAGTTTCTTACAAAGATAGCTGAAATAATAAAGCAAATCTGAGTCTGTATCTAATGAGGATGCTTTTTTGTTGTTTTGTTAAAATGAGACTATCATCTATGCTTACCTAAGAGGCAATTATGTGAATTTCATGTCTGAGGTATAACTTATGCAGGAATAGTTCTGTAAATACATTTAAATGAATTGTAAAGATATTTAATAAATATAGTATTTATACTAAAATGTGTTTTTTAAAGTTGACTGCAAAAATTCTGTTTGTTAATACAATGATGTGGTGGCCCAGAGAAGCCCAGCCACTAACTCTTAAGGGTGTTTGGCTTTCATTTAGACCATTGTACGGTGTTCTCTCAAAGCCATGCGTGAATATCACCCTACCCTACTAGATAAAACTTCTCTCTAACCGTTGGGCAAATAGAATTGCCATTTTTTTTAATCAACCAAAGATTGGAAATTGCAGTATTTTAATACAGTGAGACTTTGGAAATACTGCACAATAGCAGTTTGTCCTGCAAGCTTGTTTGATAGCAAGCCAAGCTGGGCGCTACTGTTGTGCACATCTTCTCTGTTCAGTACAAGTAAATTGCTTTTTCAGGGCAGCAGTGTAACAGATCAGTTGTGGATATGTTCTCCCCAAGAAAACTACAGCAAATGCATCTCAACAAAAAGTCACAAAATTGCAGTTGCTACGGGTAAAGAGCCAACATCACTGACTTGTGTTGGGTTGAAAGAGGCAGAGGAAGGGAAAAGAACAATGCAAGTCTGGAACACAACGTCTTAAACTCATGCTTTCAAACATGAATATTTTTATTTTTAAATGTATTTCCATCACAGTATATAGTATTATTAGTTACTCAGCTGAATATTAGTCCTGCAAAATGGCTGTAAAAATACCAGGTATTATATAGCAATAACGTATTTGGCTATGCCAGAGTGGATGGGTTTGTTATTCCATCGCTTGTAACTTTACAATAGTAGTGTAACTTGCCTGAAGTGGTAGCACAACGTGAATTCTCTAGTGGACTACTGGAGAGCTGAACGTGAAGCAGTGCATCTTACAAATCTGAATCTGGTCGGTCATGACTTAAATTTATATTACACTGTGAATACACCTACAATTTTAGAATGACCTGTACTGGTGGTTAACATATAGTACTACAAATAGTAGAAAACCCAACCAAAGCTTACAAAAAAACCCTCTACTTTTGTGCTTAATTCTTAAAGCTGGATTTCAAAAATCAGGTTTCTGTGAAACGTAAGTAGTGAATAAATATTTAACCTGTGCTGACATGGCAGGAAATGATTGTATTATACGTTAAGTAGAGTTCTGTCCTATTTGTACGTTTGTCTTGCAAAGAAGGAGAAGGGTACAAATGAGGTAGTTTTTCCACTTTTCAGACTCTCTTGATAGATGTTAGTGAAATTCAGTTTACCATCCTGTTACAAGCTCAGCATACAAGTAAAAGTTTCTCATACGTTCTAACTTGTCTAAGAACAGTAGGACAGTTTCATAAGAGAATTAAACTTCTTTCTAAAACTAAAAACAGCTCTACAATTACCATGTCAAATATGCTTCTATCTTTGAAAGCAATTGTAATCTCTAAGGAAAGACTATTGCAGACACTTCATGTTATTAGAGAACTTGGGATCTCTGCAAATTGACAGAATCCTCTTCAGTGTCACTAGCTGTTGCTAAACTATGGAAGATGTGGTTGATGGCATCTTTCTCCTTAAAAGAGACTGCTCCAAAAAACAAGGAATGAAACTGGAAAATGCAATATTTAAAAAAAGTAAGATACTAGGCATGTGATATACATCAGGGATTAATTATTTCTCAAGCCTTTAACACCTTTAAAAGAGCACATTTTTAAATCTTTGTCAATTTGCTGTGTTTCTGAGTAAAATAAATCTGCCATCTGCAAATATTTACAGCATTATAGTCAGATGTGGGGTGTTTTTTTGTCAGCCCTGCTGCCATGAAAGCTGCTTCATTTTCATTGAAATACCATGAGGAGAACCAAATACCAGTGCGTAGTAACTTAGACTACATGGAACATGCAGCTAAATACCAGCTGAAGAACACTATTCCACTGTTTCATAAAACAATGTAGATAGGATGGGCGTCTCCTTACCTTGTGATAATCAGAATGTGTTGATCTTGCTTCCAGCATTGTATAGTCATCAGTTTCAGTTATGGTAGGTCCTTCTATGCAAGCAGTATCTTTATTCGAGGTTTTGAGAATACTTTTTATCTCTTGTTTTGCCAAAGGACTTCTAGGTGCTACTGGCTCTGTGTTTTGTGAATTTCTGTTCCATTGTGGCTTTCTGGAAGCTACCGCTTCTGAATTATTATCTCTGTCCACGGAGGTTTTTTCAGATTTACTCATATATGTCTTCAAGCTGGGTGTGAGAGAGTAGGTCAGGTTAGTAACTAGCCTTTACATGCCTTTAGTGGGCACTCTGTACTTCTTGCTAATGAAAAGCCTTACAGCTTTAGCACAGATACTCATCTACTGTCTTCCCTTCCTATCTTACTGCAACAGAACTCCATAGAGACTAAGCAAAGCAGAGGCAAGCGTGGAGTGTTGCACCTAGAATGTTATTGCTATGCATATTAAGAAGTTACGCCAAAACTCCTGTGCTGTCTCTCCTTTTGCTGCAAAAATGGTACCTTAGCATTACCAGTAATGAAAGTTAACACTGTGTTCAAGAAGGGAACAATCTGTCCAAAAGCATTCCCTTGCACCCTGATAGCTGATAGGTGAAGGTATGAGAATCCTATGGGAGAGGTGACTCGGGCTGCCCAAGCAAATGTTGGCTGCCTGATGCTGTGGCAGTGCCTATACAACTAGCAGATCAGTAGCTATGTGCTTTGATGAAAAGAATCCGTCGGTGGAGGAAGAGACTGTCTCATGGTGGTGCTCTGTCAGGGTCTCAGCTTTTTCCTGAACCCCTATAGTTCAGAATTTTCCTGTGAACAAAGGCTCCAGTATCGGGTACAATGTTTATGAATGTCCTGTAAGAATTAGAAGATCATTTTACTGGAAACTTTAAACTTTGCTTTTCAGTCTAAGGCAATTTGCCTTCTTCATCCATCCCTGAAGCCCACTGTTACCTTTCCTGCCTTTGTGAAAAGCATGGAGGCTGTTCAGAGGCTGTCTCCTTTTCAACATCGGATAAGGTAGCCAAAATAAAGCTGGCTTCCAGCACCATATCTTCAGTGCTGAAAGCAATTGGTCTAAACAGAAACATTCAGAGACTAAATAGCATGTATAATTACATGGATTTTTAGGGAGGAAGGAATTGCTGGAAGGAACTGCTCATGCAATTATATACGCACAGATTAAAAAATAACCCTTCTAAAATTATGAAAAGCTAATACAAGAATTTGCTACTTAGGAATGTAAGATGGCTTACCACTACAGATTTAAATGCATCACTACACAGTATTATGTTTGGTTCAATTGTGCTTTTAAAGATGTAACTGTTAAAATTGCACTTTAAACAGGCAATGTATTGTTTCTTTAGACTACCAAATAAAACAAAGTTGTTGCATGCGTTGGACTGAAAACGTGAAACGTCCAGGTAACTTGCGGGTGCTCAGCAGTCAGCATGGCTAGCTTGGTAATACTGCTGCCTGAACTAAATGCCTCATGTAATAACAAACTACTTAACTCTGCATTGCAGGTTAATTAGAAATACAGCTTTTGGTAAGAAATTAAAATCTATTTTATTGTTACAGTTAATATTTATAGAGTAACCTGCAGACAAAAACTGATTGTGGAGTTGTAACTGCAATTGTTCTAGATAGGCGTGTTCCAGAACGTACTTCCCAGGTATGTCAAAATGGATTGAGACAGGAGTACTGGTAGCTTCTGAAAATGCTAGTAGTCCCTGAAAAGAAGGGGTGAGAGGTTAAGTGCTACTTCACAAACAGAAGAAGAGTAATATTAGAATATAAGTTTATTCCCACTGTTATTTACTCATGAAAAGAGGAGGAGGTAAAAATCTACCGCTTCTAGAATGCATTTCTTGCCTTCCCTGACTGGAGTTTTGCCCAAGAAGCTTCTGCGTGTAAACTCTGGCCACTACACCTTCTGCAGTACACGCATAAGGTGCTTGCCCAGCACTGAAACTATATCGCTGTTGTTTTAAAAACATATCCCTTGCCCTTCAAAGGCTATAGCAAGGGACTCTGCAGTGTCCTGAAGATCTTTGTTTTTAAAACTGTTCTTTCAGCAACTGATAAATGCTGCTGCTGCTGATCAGGAGGCCTGGTAGAACACCTTCACCAGGGACCATTCTGCATTTTCCAGGTTAAATTTTGCAAATTCATGGAAAATATTGTATTTTCAAAACAAATTCTTATTTTACCCTCAATTCCTTAAGGCAAAATGTTACTTCAGAATCCACACCAACTTGAAAGTAGTCAAATTCATCTGGATTTAGTTGTATTTCAGTATGCATTGCCTTTGAAAAGTCTGTTCAAAATAACAAGAAAGTCAGGGAGTCAAAACTGTGAAATTTGAACTCGACAACACTATGATTATAGCCATGAGCTTTTTACATCAGCATAGTTTGAACAAATACCTATACTTTTATAGTGACTAACAGTAATGAATGCCTGGCTGTCTTCAGCTAAAATTATGTAAAAATACCTTGAAAATCCCCAAAATATTAAGAGTGTATCTTGTAGGCTTAAAATGGCTTTTAACGAAATGTATTTGATGTTTCACTCTGTGATCTAACCCTGATATCTGCTTTCGTGCCTGCAAGCCTGCATTGTCTACAGGTGTTCTTCATAAATGCTCTTACTAGCTTTTTAGTGTTGCATAGATGGGAACACCAAAATGCAGCATGACTTTAACAGATTAATCATATTTGCTGACAACCATTAGAGGTTTAAGAATGCAGACGTAGGTTATTTGTTTTAAAATGTAATATTTTCCTGACTTCACATAAGTGGCAGACTGGAAACTAGGTTCTTCATTTTCAGATAATAAATTGTTGCTCATCGGCATTAGAATACCCCTTAGTTATTATAAGGGGTACGAAAAGAAAATAAGAGAGTACTTCTGTGATGCATTACAGTCTCACAGGCATTCAGAAAAACGTTACAGCAGCTTAAATAGTGCACTCCTTTCCAGTTCATTTTCAAAGTCAGGCTGCTAACAAAGTATTACAAACTACTCCCAGCATTCTGTTTCTTCGCTTAAGAGTTTTCTTTTCTCAGCTTTCAACAAGGTCCAACTGCATGTACAAATACCATCTTGTAAAGTTCCTTAGGACTGTAGAAATACTCTCTTCTAATACACCTGCCAAGTTCCACAAGACAGAGCCTACTGCATGCAAATGAAAACAAGTCTAGGCAGAAAGTCTAATTTCCTTCCTTGACCATTAAATCTGACTGTGGAAAAACCCAAGCCATCACCAGATGATGTGTTCAAATAAATATATTTTATTTCAGCATATGCAGAACATTTGCTGCAGGCAGTACATTACATTACATTACACACAAGAATGATGCTTTGAATTCCTCCTTTTCCCCCCCTTGTTTGGTCGTTCTTTTTGTTGGTTTACAGCATTACATTTTTACCTACCATTTTTTCACTCTTTCTTTCAATAACCCTTTTAAGTGTATGTGTCTAAAGTAGCAAAATTCCTCATTCAAAACACATTTTTTTAGTGCCTGCTTTCAGTAATTTCTTTCCTGTTTCACTCCAGCCAGTTTCCACTACTTAACCTTTCTTCCTCTCCATTGCTATAGCTTGTTCTCAGCCCAATCCCCACCCTTATGCTCTAGACAGACATCTTTTTCTAGGTCATCATGCTCAGCTTTAGTCATGAGTAAGTATGAAAAGCATCCCTTTATTATCTAATATACAAGAGCCCATACTTCAGAAACACAAAATTATGTCTTTAAAATTAGTTTGAGTCACACACCAGGAATCTAGATGGTTCTCCATCCCTGATCTGTAAACGGTAGTGCACAACATTAAAGTTTTAGGCCAACTAACACACTATATCACTCTTAAATTAAGATATACTCAGTATTGATATCAATTCTACAGTTATGGTATTCTGATGTAGATAGTTCTTTTCAAAAGCATAAAATTATCTCCTTTTGCATGCCTGTTACCATGTGTCTGCTCTTATAGCACAGTAATTATCTCTCTTCGAGCCTGCAGCAAATGGCATAATTTATTTCAACTGGATGCTCAGTTTGGTATCTGCCACTGATAGCAGAAAAAATATTATTAAAAACATACTGTCCTCACATAAATATATTCAATCCAATGGGTGGTACTATGACTTAAAATCTGTCTCTGTATGTTCCCTCTCTTAAAATCTTATTCAGCCATGAAATGCATTTTCTATTTGTGTTGCAATGCTGCTTATTATTTCTTTAGTTCACTTGTTTTAAAGTCCCAATATTCTTTCATATTTTGAATTTCCTTACCAGCGTCTTCCTCGGTGTAACTCTTGAAACAAACTTTCATTGGAGTAACTGCTAGGGTTACTTCTTCTTGACTCATTGGAAAGTGAATCATTACATCAGCCAGCAGCCTACAGAATTTAATTTAGCATTCAAATAATTTTATATGTTACAAATTATTAGCTAGCATTTGTTATTCACATTATAAATTACAATTGTTACGTGGCAATACTGTTTAAAAAAACTGCCTTTGAAATGTGCCCCTCCCAAAGTGTATCATTTTTTAAATTGATGTATACTGCAATAGTTATATATGTAAATTAAAATTACAACTAATAACTATAAAAATCGTATTTAATATTTAATATGGCTGTGCATACTGCCAAACCAGGCTTTTATATATATATATATATTGCAATTTTTAGCAAATATATGTTTAATTTCAGCATATATGTCACATATTCTTTATTCAAAAGCTTCCAGTTTTAAAAGTTGTGTTATCGTTTTATAAATACAATACATAATAGATGCACTACATATAGATATATATCTATATAGAGATATCGATCTCCAATGGTTGATTATTGTGATAAAAGCATCTTTGCACAAGATGCACTTGAATGCTATCAGGAAAAGTACAGTCTAACTGTTTGTTGCCTTTCTTTGCGATAGCATGCCAAATCTTGGATTCTTCTTGGATTCTTCTTGGATTCTTCACTGCTCTTTTTTTTGTTTTTTTTTTTTTTGAGGGTTACTTTTCAAAGGAGTGCTTTGCCTTATTTTGTAAAATAACTTGTACTTTTACCACTGGATTCTTTCCTTCTACAATTTAAGCACAACTTTATTTCTGATAGGTGGAAAAGTGTTAATTCAAATTGTACATTACACACGTCTCAAGGTTAGACTGAGCAGGATCAATGGCAGAATAATCCAAGTTTCTGAAGCTGTACTGTGACATATCAAGTACTAGTACATAGGATTTAGGACTTCACCATTTGTTGGCTGTGGGGCCCTAATCAGGTTTTGATTATGTTAACGGCTATGAGAGCATGACTGCATCATGTATGATTTCTAAGTAAAAAATATGTTTATTCATTACCTGGATTGGACTTTAAGTATATTTGGACACATGTGCTTTGCAAAAACAGCCTGTAGTGGATCACATTCTTGAAAAGTCAGATTATGTGTTTTTACAACACCTGAGTAAAAAGCACATGACAAAGATTAATGCTGGTCTGTAATTTTTAATGCTTGTTAGTATTAATTGTTATTTTTCATAAATCCCCAAAACAAAGGAACCACGGGATTCAATATGGCTACCTGGAAATAACTCACCCACAGATAGAAAACTGAATTAAAATGTTGTCTAAGGCTTCCTTCATCCTCTTAGTTATTACCCTCTAAAATCTGTGGTTCTTAAGAATTCACAACTAACAAGTGAACAACACAGGAAACAAGCACAGGAACAAGAAGCCTTCAATATTTAACTGGCAAATAATCTAAATGCTGGAGGGAAAGCAAAAGTACAACCCTACAGGTCTCTCTTTATTTCTAGATAAGAATGAGCTGATGAATGAGCTAAGTTAGCTTACTTGACCTAAGTAATATATTATCTCATTATTATTAATGCAGGCTACATTTTTAATACTGTAAAGCACTGTCCATTACATAGCACAGCTCTGCAGGCTGTGTTGATAGATTATCTATCTCATTATCTAATGAGAACTCTTTATAAAGAGTTCTGCGGAGACTAATGTCTACAAATACGCTGTCTTCTGCAGGACTGAGGATGTCAGACCTGTTACAAAGCCAAAGAACTGTTAAGCATTAGAAGTGTAAAGATCTAGTATATTCTCTAGTTCAAACACCTGCCAAAACAGGATTTCCTTTCTTCCCCTTTTAAATCCCCCCCCCTTTTTTTTTTCAAAATTTAATCCAGCCTAACTTTACATGTTGCAAGAAGTGGGCTACAAATTAGTGTATAGCATAACTACTGAGCATATATGCATAACTACTGAACCAAAGCACAGAAGCAAGCTGACTGATAAATCCTGTTATAGCTTCTTTTTAACAAGGTGCTGTGCATTTAACAAGGTGATGTGCTGAAAGTGTTTGGCATAACGCTCCACCGGTAACACGCAATTAATAATTACACTAAATACTGTCTTCCTGTTTTAAACTGCTTCTGTTTCTGGAAAGTCACTTTATGCAACCTACCATGTTTACAGATGAGCTGAAAAGTTATGTGATGATCATTAATATTTGTATAAATGTTGCATTTCTCCACATTCCTTTCCAGCACGTTTACACATCTAAATACAGGAAGAACTGACTGTAAAAAAAATAGTGCAAAGGTTATCAAGCAATTTTGCAGTATTATTTCCCTAGTCTCATGCAGTTCATCTCAAGCTCCTGTTTTCATGGCTTCCCAAAACTGCTTTGTAAGCAGATACTGAGGCAGCAGATAATGATCCCGGCCATCCTCGCCCACTATGCCACACATGGCCAAAAGGGCTGTTTGCTAAACAACTGGTCAAAGCTCTCCTGGCTCATACTACTTTTGAAGGCTGCAGGAGAAACACTCAAGAGACAGAAACACAGTATTTCTTCACCCCAAGACAAAACTGGTTCAGAGTCTGGAAGCTGCAGGGTACAGCTCAGGAGGTACACCTAAACATCATTAAACACAAATGTTCTCGTTTGCAGAATTGCTCGGAAGCGCTAGAGTTTATAGCTTCAAAAGCTTTAGTCCAATAATGGTAACAAGTCATCTATATGCCTAAACAATCCTCCCCCTATAATTTTGTTTGAAAATTGGGCTGATTTGCTGCTTACAAAGCTGTGCATACCAATCCACTAAAATGTACCTTAATTATCAATTTACACGGAAGGGGTAACTGTTTTTCCTTCTGACATGATTCAGATACAGCTGTCCAGCAGTAATGTTGAAAAAACATAGATGAAAAGAAGACATATGCATAGGCTGACCTAGAAGAATTCACTGATCTTAAGGCAAGCTGAAAATAAAAATATGTCATTAAATCAAAACCGTTTCATATTGAACCTTTAACAAAAAGGCTATCTCTATGCTTCAGTACCACACCTAAGCACAAAACCTTTATAAACGTGTTAAGCCTCAAAATAATCACAGACGCATCATGCATATAATCACGTTCAAACTAGTCACCTTCCTTACTGCTGGTCAGAAGTCGCTGGTACAATACAAGCGTAGGAATCCAGTCCAGGGATGTTTAAGTGTGTGAGTTAAGCCTTTAAGTGTGAATTACCTAAACATTTAAAGCTGAGCTTGAGCTTGAGGCTTTTGAGGGACTGGAGCTTGTTTCAATACAATTTTAATTCTTACTTATCCACATGATGCATACAAATGGGCAAAGACACTGTGTATCACACTACTAGCACCTCAAAAATACTTCAGATATAAAAAGAAAGCAGCTCCGCTTCTGCTTTGCAAGCTTTCCTGCAAGGTAAGAGGAGCTGAGCCTCATTAGGCTTGAATAAGAAACTCTAGAGAAAACCCAAATTCTGCTGGAAGTTGTGGCTGATTAACGGGGGTGGTGGTGG